ATATATATATATATATATATATATATATATATATACAGTATCTCACAAAAGTGAGTACACCCCTCACTTTTCAGCAACCATTTCAGTATATCTTCTCAAGGGACAATACTATAGAAATTAAACTTGGATATAATTTAGAGTAGTCAATGTGCTGCTTGTATAGCAGTACAAATTTACTGTCCTCTGAAAATAGCTCAACATACAGCAATTATTGTCAAAATAGCTGGCAACAAAAGTGAGTACACCCTAAGTGATAACAGCTGTATGTCGTTTAACCATGCAAAGCCACATGTCCTATTCATCATGTTCATGTTTTTGTCTGCTTGACAGGACCATACAAATTTGTGTATCTTGTATTAGAGCAGTTAAAATTTGGTGCTTTGAGTACAATTCTCTCATACTGACCACTGGATGTTCAGCATGGCACCTCACGGCAAAGAACTCTCGGAGGATTTGAGAATTAGAATTGTTGCTCTCCACAAAGATGGCCTAGGCTATAAGAAGATCTGTAACACCCTTAAACTGAGCACAATGTTTTATATACTGTATATTATGAGTGCACACAAATAAAAGTAGACCCTTTACAGTTCGAAATGATGTACTGCTCTTATCTTTATGAGCAAAAATTACGACGTTAAGTTGTTTCTGTTGTTAAGGAAAAAATGGAAGTGATCGCGCCGGCGCCTCAATGTCCTGCAGAGCGCGCTTTAGCTTCCACTCTCCGCACAAACGATTGATATGCGCCTAATAGCACACGTTTAGGTTAAACTTTAAATTAACATTGTGATATGCTTGAAGTGTTTTATATCTATAGATTTAATTTTAGGCAAGTCGTGTTGATTTGAGAAGGCTAAACTGATCAAACGTGATCACCTCATTGTCTGCCACTGGCCGCTTAGTCGTTATTTTTAAAAAAACAAAAGCTTGAATTTAACAAACAAAAAATGTTCCAAACATATTTCTCAATTAACTTAATAAAGAAATGAAAAGAAATATAACCACTTTGCCATTAAAAACAAACTGAACTATTTTAATGTCTGCAACAGCAGCTGTGCAATGGGGAAGAGAGAGAGAGAAAAAAGACACTGGCTCCAGTTGGACTCGGGCTGAGAATTCTGATATACTGTCAGACAATTTATATATATTCTTTCAATTTCTTATTAAGCGTCAAAAGAAAAAAAAAAAAACATTCATTTGGAAGAAGGGGGCCCAAATTTCTGTCTTGCATACCTCCCTTAAAACTCTTCATGGCGCCCCTGCATACATACAGTGGGTATAGAAAAGAATACCCCCCCTGTAAAATAATCATAATTTGTTTGTTTGCAGCCAGAAATGTAAACACACACGCATACATATATCAGGTGCAACAATATAATATTCAAAATATCAGCACCTTACAAAAATAATTTAATAAGAAATAATTTTATGGTTAAGTCCAAAAACGAGCACTGTTGCAAAAATACACCAGTCTAATGTCGTTATATTAATATATTCATAAATTATTAACAGTTTAAAAGTTTTTTTCCCCCTCCACATTCATCTTCAATGCTGGGCCCTTTACTGGTGTTGGAAAAGCTTTAGCACCATCTTACATGAGGGAACCATATACCACATTGTGTGCAGATTGTGTGCCGGAGTGTGACGTGTGTATATGTGTATGTAAGTGAGTGTGTGTTACCCTGATGCAGTAGCTGCATCCTGTAGAGTGGGGGCAGGGATGTCAGCAGACAGGTATGTAACCTCATGGCCAGCAGGTAACGTAGACCACACTCATCTAGAGTCTCTCCACCTGCAGAAACACACATTTACTACACCATAACCCTTAGAAACTGTTGCATTTTTAACTTCTGATTTTTTTTCTACACAGCAATTCCACTGCATCAGTTTCGAAAAGCATGATATGAGATCGTCACTCTCAGACATATGGCTCTGTCATCAAAGAGTGTTCAGAGCACACACAATCCTGAACATATTCCAGACCACAATCTGCATCACCACCTAGCGACTCTGATCACACCTGATCCAATAAAACATTTTAACAGTACCAAAAAATCCACCACATCAAAACTCAGAGACTAATTAAAAACTTCCTCTACAGGGAAATTGAGGATTGAATTTTGAAGTTCATCAGCAATCTAATGTTAGGTGAATTAGAACTACAATATAAACACTTGTATGCCGTATGATTTATCTGACTGTCCCTGAACCTTTCTCCTTGCATCTTGGCTCTAGCAAGCACTGGAACACTGTGTTATGGTTTAGTACTAAAAAGACTAAATAAAAAATATCTGAGCTATAGGTAACATGGATAAAGCCTGATATGTTTAATGTTGACAATAAATAATTATACCAAGGTTATTAAAAATTTTTTTTTATTATGGTTCTCTCTTCATGTACTTGGTTAACCCCACTGACATACTAGACATTTAGCCAACACAACAAGTATATCACATTCAAAATATACTCATTAGTATTATTAGGGACAAAAACAAATTTTACTTCAACCCAGTGTTGTCAAGATATGTTTAATGTTGACAATAAATAATTATACCAAGGTTATTAAAAAAAAAAGATTTATTATGGTTCTCTCTTCATGTACTTGGTTAACCCCACTGACATACTAGACATTTAGCCAACACAACAAGTATATCACATTCAAAATATACTCATTAGTATTATTAGGGACAAAAACAAATTTTACTTCAACCCAGTGTTGTCAAAAGTACCGATGTCGGTACCAGTCGGTCCTGACATTTAAACAATGTGACGATACCATTATTTCCCGCTATCATTTTGAGCACTGTTGAGCGGATTCTTAAACACCTCTGATTGGCCATCTGTGTAAGCGCTCAGTGAAGAGCCTGAAACGATGATCATTGTAGCCAATCACAGACATATCTGTTGAGTGCATGAACACAATGGCCAATCAGAGGTGTTTAAGAATCTGCACAACAGCGCTCAAAATCCTAGCGAAAAATGCTGGTATCATTACTTTTTTAAAATTTCAGTACCGACTGAACATCGGTACTTTTGACAACACTACTTCGACTGTTAAGGACTTTGTGTTTATTTATTTGTTTAAATAATTACATTATTTAAATATTTAAACAGAACAGTCTTACATACTGAACTGAAATACAGTTTCTATTTTAAACTTTATGTTCTTTGATATCTCAATGTGGCCTATACTGCCAGTCAAAGAAGGAAGATGCTTGTTGGGGTCAGATGGTGTAATTACTAACTCTTCCAGCAGGGGGGTAAAAACAAAACCTTGAGCAGAACAGCAGAACTATTAGGACATACTGATACCGTCTTGATACCACGGACACCACTGTTGCGTACAGTTTGCATTTACAAGCAAGTTTGATCATCTAGATAAATTCATTGCCTTAAGATTAGTGCTGTCAAAATGAGTGTGTTAATGCAGGTGATGATTTTTTTTTCAGTTTAACGCGTTAAAAATATTTAACACAATTAACTCAGGGGCAGAGCTAGGGTTGGCCATACCACTCACAACTGCTGCTTCTGTCTCTTTTTTCTTGAAAAGAATTGCGTTTATTTAGACGCAGAAAGTCTTTGTGACCATAATTTTCAGAACAGTATTTTCACTGTGGGTCTCTATCCCATTAGTGTAGGGGTGTGCAAATCTGGCCCTCAAAAGTCCATTGTCCGGCAGAGTTTAGCGCCAACCTTAAACAAACTTGAAAATGCTAACCAAAATCTTCAGTACTTGAAAATTACAGGCACCAATGTTTGATTGAGAGCCAGAGATTCCCACCCCTAGTAGTGAAGCTTGTAATTCTTAAATTTGCAGAGACAACTATAAGAAACTCAATCTTATGTTGTTTTCCTTGAAAAGTGTAAAGACTATGGTTCTGTAGAACCAAAAAAGCAATGCTTTGTTTGAGCATCCAGACAAGCCCAATACAGCAAAACTGGCTCAACCAATGACTTTGATCTGTTTGTTTGACCAATGAAAAATGGGGGGACTGTTTGAAAAACCTGTAAAACAGTCATTGTTTTTGCAATTCCATTTGGTAACACTAGTGGTGCAAAATTACATCAGTTTTAAAGATGGTACGAGAAGTAAACTCACCAGTGTACTGTTTATCTGTGGGTCCTGCTACTTCTGCACTAGTGGTCGCCACAGTATCGGCAAGAGCCACAAGGAACATCTGCTCGAGTCGTGTGAGACCTGGCAGGCTGGAGTGCATAAGATGTGAAGACAGCACTTGTGCATGTTCAGGGCCAAAGTATGTGGGGCCGTATTGTGATAGGTTAATCACACGAGACTTCTTCTCTGGTTTCTCTGCAGCAAAGCTCACAAAATCGTCAGTGGTGACAGTCTGCACCTGAAACAAATCAGAGTATTGATCCTCTGGTTGTTTCTGTGTATCACGATCTGCCCCTTTTCCCGCTTCCTCTCCCATCTTGTAAGAGGTGTCCTGGTCTGCAGACAGCAGGGCGTATAGTGGAAGCGGGGGAATGGAGTTGATTTCAGTGTAATCTCGCCCAACATCTCGGCCAGCAACGATAATGTCTTTTGCTGTGCTACCCGTCACGCTGATGGTTCGGGATAGATGCCTCCTGGCACCACCCTCACCTGCTTCCACATCCCTCACCACTGCAACTTCTCCAGCAATGCACTTGACCAGGTGTGCCAAAATGGCCTTAGCACGACGTACCCTTCCGAGGTCCATAAGCTCTAGCAATTGGGTTGGATGGTATTGCGGAAGAGTGGGTGACAATGAATGGGCAGCCTCAAACAAGCCGCCATCTTGAATCACTGCTGGGGGGCGGAACACATCATCAATTCCTGCACTACCCTCGAAGACACTCTTAGATCGCGCTCTGCCCTCATTTGAAACAGACATAGTGCGACCTCCAACGCCCTCTGGGGATGAGATGCTGTTGTTGTCTGAGTCGCCTGGTTTTTCGTCCTGCCTCCACTGCGCATAAACCTGCATCTCACAATCCATGCCCACCACCAGGATGCCATCACGCACCCAGGATAGGGACACCGGCAGGGATGGGGTACCATCCACAGAAGAGACGAGGTTTACAGACCTCAGAAGCACCCAACGAGAGCGAATTCCCTGCTTTATACTGCCCCCTAAAGGCAGGGTGACTGCCATTCCATCCTTCACTCCTGTCTGCTCTGTGACAACCCCTGAGATGCGTCCATACATAAGGATGTTGGATCCAACCCCGACCGTCAGGATGTGCGACCCATCTTCTTTTGACAGCCAGTCCAGGTGCACAAAGTGTTTGATATTAGGGCTGTCTTTGGTTACAAACAGATCTGACTTGCTATAGACAACCAAATTGCTATCAACACTAACACGTGGATCTAGGGTTTTCACAGGTTTGCTAAAATCATCAAGGTGAATCGTCTGTTCCAGGACCCACTCCAAGCCACCCGTCGACTCACACTCGTAGATTGATACAAGCATGGAGAAGTCCTGAGGCATGCCACCCTCGTTCTCAAGCGACATCTGTTTGAATGACACAGCAAGTCTTCCCGTGTAGGAGCAGCTGACCGCAACGGGTCGGCCCGAAACACACACAGAGCTGTCGATGTCGTCTTCTTCTTTCAAGAGGCTCCATTGCTCCCACCGATATGAACGTGTCTCTTCGGGGTGTGGTGCTGATAAATCCATGTCCACCCTACAGTGCCAGAACCTGACACGTCCATCAGAACAGGTGGTCACAATCAGGTATGGAGCCAAACACACAGGGTAGATAGATGAGGAGCTCAAGTGACCTTTGAAAAGAAGCCCAATATTTTTATCACCCACATGATGCTTTAACAGCAGAACACAATTGACAAACACAAACCATCCAAATACACACCCAAAAATGGCTTATTATGAAATACAATTACATTTCACCTACTATATGATAAATTATATTTTGTTTTCAATATAAAATTATCCAATATTATAAATACTTCAATGTTTAGCAGACATTTTTATTTGACCATTAATTCAGAGACCATGACTAGTCTGCTAGTCCAATTACAAACAGATTATTAGGGTCCATGTGAATGCAGCTATAGTGACAAATGCTTTCATTCTAGATAAGGGAACTTTTTAGTAGGGATGTAACGATTCACCGCGAGCCGGTTGAACATCGATACAAATATGTGACGATTCAAATCGGGTTGAGATGTTAAACGAATCACGATAAATTTTGGGGTGGGAGTTTATATGAATGTATCTCTGAGGGGAACAGACTGTCTTTAGAAAAGTTTAGATGGTATTTTATTTTCATCTCGACTCTGTGTAATGCATATTAAGGCCCCGATCAGACAGAACGCGTTTTTCAGGTCGGAAAACGCGAGGCGCACCGCACTGCCTTTTTTTTTGGTTGATTATAGATAAGAGAGCAGTGCACTGCGTTTTTTTTATGCTGCTAGGCAACCACTGAATCAGCTGTCCTGTCAGTGTAGCGCGAGTGCTCTTTGGTTTGCTGTTAAACTGTCATATTAGCAGAAACTTAAAAAAATGTACAGCTGCGGATAACCCGCGACAGCCACAACAAGCAACTGTAAACTTTCGTCAGCACAACAGAAGGGCCGCCTCTCCATTCATTCGATTGGGCAATGGAAAAAAATGCGAATGACGTCGGGCTCTTTTCTGCTCAGAGTTGCTTTTTTTTTTTTTCAACTACAGGTGCTTAGAGCGCTCCTGCAAAAATGCAGTGGTTGCCTCTAATTTTGATTGGAAAGAGCACAGGCAAAGCCTTTGTTTATATGAAGAGAGTTTTTTTGTCTTATTTATTTGATTAGATTTTGGGTTTGTTTTTAAATTTCAATAAATGTTTTTTATTTGACATATTTCCGTTTCACAAAGAAATGTGCAGTATTTTGTCCAAACAATAATAAAAGGACACCTTTTCATTTATTATTTGTCTTAAATCTAATTTTGTTTTTAAAAAATCGTGAGAAAATCGAATCGTTACATCCCTACTTTTTAGTGTTGGACGATATAGTCCATAGTCATATCGTCAACCTGTGAGATTGTCGATACATGACATTATCATGATAATTTATTTAATTAATTACTTAGTTTCATAGCTGGAGAGTAAACCAACTCCAGCGTACGGCTAAAAGCAGCCTAATGTTACTGTAATCTATTAACTAAACATAATATATTTTTAGTCAAGTAGCATATGGATGTCATGTCATAAAACATTTAATATGAATGGATTTGAATTTAACAATTTAATAAAAACATTGAAAGTTACTAAATAAAATGCTTACATTTCTTCAGCTACAGCAAACGATCAAAGAACATCATCACTGACTTCAGTCTAGCGAGAGTTTATGCACAATAAACACTCCCGTTATAATCAGTGAAGCTGTTTGCTCTGTATTATGAATAAATCCCTATTGGTCATACATCTGCATTTTGTTGTTTATGAGAGAATTTTGCGAGAGCAGAAATCAGTCAACGAGCGTACACACTAAATAACAAACAAAACTCCGGTGTTTATTTGTTTGTGATGACTCGTCTGAACGCCTCTGATTGGCCATTGCATTCATAAACTCAACAGAATCGTGTGTGATTGGTTATAACTCGCAACACTGTAAAAATGTGTAAAAAGAAATATGATGGAACAAATAAGCCCTAATATTAATTAGATAATAATACTAGCCTGATAATAATAATAATAATAATAATAATAATAATAATACTCTTGATATCATCAAAGGCATCAGCCATAGGCGATATCTCTGACTATCGTCGATACACGATACTATCGTCTATCGGCACAACCCTAGCACTTTTCACTTCATTTTGTATAACCCTCATATTATCATACACTTGTGAGAGGGTATTTCTACAATGGCATCAATAAACTGAAATCTTGGTGCACAATAATGTTCAGTAGTACATCTTGAATATCAGGACAATTATATTTTATTAACAGCCCAATGGCCAGAGTAAGTATAACCACACAGAACTGACCTGCTGTGATTTATTTTAAGATTAAAAGCTAGCATGTATAGCTCATATAACTGTTATGAGGCAATTAATAGGGTTATTCTAGTCTGTAAAAATGCATGTACATATACACACACACATATATATATATATATATATATATATATGATCATACCGGCAGAGGGCGTAGCTCTGATTAGCTCCACCCCTGGTGGAAGGTCTAGCTGCTGACTGTAGACCAGTTTAGAGCTCAGGATGAGTTTGCTGGCTGACTGCAGGTTGGCGGAAGAGGAGGAGCGAGGCAGCGGACTATGACCTGGAGTGGTGTCAGGAGATGAGTCACCATAGTTCTGACTCAAAGGAACCGTCAGCTGGTTCTGGAACACGTGGTCATTTACTGGTTCTTCTGCAAAGATTAGAAAGACAGTAAAAATGTAACCATAATCAATCATGACATTAATTATATTGAATACATTTCAGACAGAGACAGACGGAGAGGGAGAGAGAAACCGAGTTCAACAAAAAATAAACAGACAGTACAATACACAGTGCAGATGTACATTATTGATGCTCAACGGGTAAATTAAGGCATCATGTCCTTCTAAATTATTTCCATATCTGACAAAGAAATTAGTCATTAGAGGAAGTATCAGCTTTCCATTCATGAGACTCCCCTCACAATTTCCTCTCATAAGCAGTCTGCCGACAGCTGTGTCATCATTTCACAAATAGCCCACATCATACGCACCCACACACGCCTGCACCGAGCGCAGATGAAGATGCCACATCTGTAATACTGAGTTCCGATTTGTATCCTTCTCGATCACCACCAGGTAGAACTTTTCTGAGAAAGGAGGGGGCTGGTACTCTAGAAACAAAGATAACCCAAATGTAATGTTCTGTAAACACTGTTTAAACCAGACTTAAAAAGAAAGAAAAGGTTTTTGTACCTTCTGCAGAGGGAACACTAGTACTGTTGAACTCTAGTATGTCTTCATGTGGTTTGTAGCCTAAAATAAAATCCTCCTGAAATACGTGGAGCAGCTGTGTGTTCGAGCCACACTGAGAGACACAGACATACATGCAGTATTACACACAACATATTATTTTTGAATTGCAACTAATTTAAATATCAGACAATGTTAATCAAACACAAACTTGCATCTGTACACAAACAGATGTAGAACCCACCTGGTTAGTAATGACATCCAGCTCTATGATGCAGCCGGGTCGGGCAGTGGACTGCTGACTCACAATGTTGAATACTTCACCCACCAGTTTCTGAACATAAAAGCAACCATCAGAGATCAACAAGCAGATCAACTCTAATTATATTTGCCATACATTCATTGGCAGATAAGGACATTATTTTGATCAAATCTACTCTGAGAGGCTCTTACAGAGGTCTCTGGGTCTGAGAGTTCATCCAGTAGTTTGCGGGCATCCACCACAGCCTGATACAGACGCAGGTTTTTACCATCAGACGCCACAAAGCACGCACTTGCTGAGTTACAGTATGTTCCTGACACAAACACAAATATTTTTATTAAGCCCAACATAGTAACAACTAGTTACTAATTACAACTAGTAGCCCAACATAGTAACATAACCATACTAGATTTCATTTTCTGAAGAAAATATGAGGTTTGCTTATGCTGAACTCTCCACTATGTATACAAGGGCGTTGCTATGTTGAGTTTTTATTATATATACACTGAACAAAATTATAAACGCAACACTTTTGTTTTTGCCCCCATTTTTCATGAGCTGAACTCAAAGATCTAAGACTTTTTCTATGTACACAAAAGGCCTATTTCTCTCAAATATTGTTCACAAATCTGTCTAAATCTGTGTTAGTGAGCACTTCTCCTTTGCCAAGATAATCCATCCACCTCACAGGTGAGGCATATCAAGATGCTGATTAGACAACATGATTATTGCACAGGTGTGCCTTAAGCTGCCCACAATAAAAGGCCACTCTAAAATGTGAGCCTAAGGCACACCTGTGCAATAATAATGCTGTCTAATCAGCATCTTGATATGCCACACCTGTGAGGTGGATGGATTATCTCGGCAAAGGAGAAGTGCTCACTAACACAGATTTAGACAGATTTGTGAACAATATTTGAGAGAAATAGGCCATTTGTGTACATAGAAAAAGTCTTAGATCTTTGAGTTCAGCTCATGAAAAATGGGGGCAAAAACAAAAGTGTTGCGTTTATAATTTTGTTCAGTGTATATATATATATATTTTTTTTTTTTTACACATTGCTAGGCAGTGGCTTAGTGTTGCTAGGTGATTATGCATGTTTTAGGTTGGTAGCTAGGGCATAGCAAAGCAGTTTTTAGAATGCTGTATATAGCCAATTTCTTGTGTTGCAACAATGTTCAAGGTGGATGCTAGGGCATTGCTAAACAGTTTCTAAGACGTTGCTAGGGCTTTATTAGGCAGTTTCTGGGCGGTTGCTACAGCATTGCTAGGCAGTTCTGTATGGTGTTCTGGGTGGCTGCTACAGCACTGCTAGGCAGTTTCTGGGTGGTTGAAAGGATACTGCTAGGCAGTTTCTAGGGTGTTCTGGGTGGTTGCTAGGGCACTGCTAGGCACTTTCTAGGATGTTGCTATGGTGTTCTGAGTGGTTGATAGGGCACTGCTACGTACTTTCTGGGTGGTTAATAGGGCATTGCTAGGCACTTTTTATGGTGTTCTGGGTGGTTGCTAGGGTATTGCTAAGTTGTTTCTGGGTGTTTGACAGGGCATTGCTAGGCATTTCTAGGATGTTGCTAAAGCTTTGCTAGGCAGTTTCTGGGTACTACAGCATTGCTAGGCAGTTTCTAGGGTGTTCCAGGTGGTTGCTATGGCATTGCGAGGTAGTTTCTGGGTGGTTGATAGGGCACGTCTAAGCATTTTGTAGGGTGTTCCAAGTGGTTGCTATGGCACTGCAAAGCAATTTCTAGGATGTTACTAGGGTGTTCTGGATGGCTGATAGGAAGTTTCTGGGTGGCTGATAATGTATTGCAAGGTAGTTTCTGTGTGGTTGATAAGGCAATGCTAGGCAGATTCTGGCTGGTGGCTAAGGCATTGCTAGGCAATTTCTATGATGCTCTGGGTGGTTGCTAGGGTGTTTCTAGGTATGGCCCACGGGCCGTAGTTTGCCCATCTCTGTTCTAGGATGTTCATAAGGTACTGGATAGTTGTAAGGGAATTGCTTGGGTGATTTTGTGTGGTTGTTAGGGTGCTACTAAGCAGTTACAAGATTGTTCTGAATGGCTCCAAGGACATTGTTAGTGTTCTGCTTTTTCACTCGTCAGTCGAAAAGTGACAGCTCTCATCACTTAGCAAAGTAATCGTGCAGGTATGTATCAAAGTTTAGGGTTTTGTTTAAATTGCTCTCCCTATATTATCCAATAATAATGTATTATATGTCAAACTAAACTTTTGATTATGAGTTTCTGAGGTTAGAATGGATACAGCTGTGGTGTTAAACTCACCGAGCACTGAGCTAGGGATGAGTGTCGGCAGCCAGGCCACGTTGGAGAACGCAGATGTGTGGAGCGAGTTGATTCGTGCTAGCTCTGACACGCCCCCTGTGCAGGAGAGTGGGCCAATATGATCGACTCTCCAGAGGATCAGCTCACTGTAGATCGCGTTCGGGTCATGGAACGTACGTGTGGCTGCATTTCGCAGCTGTTTACGAGGAACACCTCTCATCGGCCTGGAGAGTTGTAGAGCCACGCCCCCAATCTGATCTCCATCAATGCTTCCAGATCCAGAGAGTGGAGTCAACAATGCATTGTGATGAGATGATGTCAGCAGCAAGGGAAGGACCGTGTGACAAGCCAAATCATTGAGATGGAAACGGTGTCCGCAGTAACGGAACTTGTGCGAAACTGTGAGGACATTTGAAAAGGCGGACTTCTCAGCAAAGGTCACAGCCCATTGGTTGAGCGAGCCGTCAACATGTTTGGACACCATCATGACGGCAGGGCCGATGACAGCAGCGAGAGAGTGTCCAAAAGCACTGAGCCCCGCAGACGCAGATGCACTCTGAGGAACCCGCCGCTCACTTCTTGTATCCTCTAGAGCGTTGCAATTCTCTTGGTCCATAAACGTACAGGCGTACATCATGATGTTCTTACTGAGGGAGTTAGCATCACCTGTGGGGAACGCCACTGGGATACGAGAGGAGAACGACACCTGAAAGAGAAAACAAATAGATTTTATTTAGTTTATCAGGGTAATTAGTAGTGAAAGCATATTAGTGTATTAAAGGGGACATCGGATGCCCATTTTCCACAAGTTGGAGTGATTCTTTAGGGTCTTCATGAAATGTATGCATCATACTTTGGTTAAAATTCCTCAATGGTCACATAAAACAACACCCTTTTTACCATTTGTCAAAAACAGCTCCTTTTACAGCGACCCGTTTCGGTGCATGTCTCTTTAAATGATAATGAGCTACTGCTCACCCCACCCTTCTCCTTCGTTTTTTTGTATATCCGGTGGCACGCGCCACCAGATATACAAAAAAACGGATATACCGGATATACATCAAAAACAAAACGAATCCACTGCGTCCTCAGTGGCTCTGATGTCAGAAGAAAATGAAGACTCTTGTGTTCACATTTACATCCAACTACAAAACACCTGCATTGCTTACGAGACATGTAGCTACAGCTGCTCGAGCGCGGAGAAAATGGCGAACAGCGTACAACTGGCTGAGGGCGGAAATATGCTAATACGGCACAGTCCATCAGCAGTCATGGGCGGGGCCACAAATCAGCTTGATAACAGCTTGAGACTTGTTTAAGTTTTTGGGGGATTAAAAAAAAAGAAAAGTGAATGGATTTTTATCATTGTAGAGTGGTTGTGTCCACACACTGCTAAGACACATTTATATGAAAACACCATGTAAAAGTGAATATTGCATCCCATGTCCCCTTTAACACAAGTTTTTCATGAGAGTATAGGCTTGCCAATATTTATGAACATGACACCATACCTCAAAACTATCATGAAGCATTACTTGTCATTACCATGGTTTCTGAATGAGTGTCTTACCTGAACCTGTCTGAAGATGCCAGGCATGAACTCATCCAGGTACTTGACATGCCAGACAAGGAAAGATCCATCGTGTGGGTGAATAGTGAAAAGCATGTCTGGACTCTTGTTCCACTCCAGGATGAGAGCATCCAGCTTCCGATCCAGCAAAACAGAGGGCAGAGGAACACTGCTGCTCGAACCTGGAGAAGAGGCCTTGGTGCTGCCCTCCTGATCTCCCTCCTCATGCTCTGAAGAGCCCTTATCAGACATCTCATCCAGATCTAACAAAAACACAAAAGAGAACATTATACAATATACTGTAATTGTGCAGCAGAGAGTCTTAAAGACACAATAATGTCACAATTAAAAACCCTATGAAATGTTCTTTGCAGCTTTTAGCCCATGTGTCTGTTATAGGGATGTAACGATTACCCATTTGACGATAAATCATGATAAAATTCCCCACGGTTAGTATTACCGTTTCATCTTTTAATTATCATTAAAACCGTATTAGATTGCCGCGATTTGAACAACTCGCGATAAATAAATACTATCCAGCATAAAGCACAGTTTCAAGTAACAGTCTCACGTGCACACAGCACACAGAGTAGTTTCGTTTTGAGTGAAAACAAGGTAGAAAAGCTGGGAGGTTTTAAAAGAGTGCTAAGGGAATTATACAAATGAAAATATGAATGAATTAATTATATGAATGTACCTCTGAAGGTTCTGACTGTCTTCAGAAACGATTCGATGGCATTTTGTTTTCATCTTCGCTCCATGTAATACCTAAAAGGATTATTTATGGAGCAGATAAAATACATATAACCATTTATTAAGCAATTATCATTTTGACATATTTTTTCTTTATTTAAAAGGCTGAAATGTGAGGTTTACCTTATTAAACTTTTTCAAAGCTTTATTTGAACATGTACATTAGATATTTCAACATGCTTAAACTGTTGTCAGTCAAGTTGTCATTTAAAATCCGAACATCATTGGTAATGTTATTGTTTTAGTGATTATGCAAACAAAAAAGTCATTTTATTTGTTTATTTTTAAATATAAAACTTGGTGAAGTGATTTGTGTGTCGGTACTTTTTTAACATCTCCAGCACATTTCAACAATACCGTGATAATACTGATAACCGTGATAATTTTGGTCACTATAACCGTGATAAGAAATTTTCATACCGTTACATCCCTAGTCTGTTAGGATTAAGTCTAATCTATATGCTAACAGGTTTATTTATAACAAGGCAGTACCGAAGTCAAACTTGGCTGCCACCTCCTGCTCAAAGTCTTCAGTGGCTTGTTCCAGATGTTGCTCAGAAAGTTTGTGCAGCTTCTGCATGAACAGGTCCATGGAGGTGGTAAAGCTCAGATCTTTATTATTCAGCCAGTGAACCACAAACCCTCCACTGACGTCCTCAGAGAACAGGCCCGATCCAGCCAGTGCTGCGGGGATATCTGATGACAGAAAGAAAGAGCATGCTACTGTCCGTGCATGTGTGTGTGTGTGTGTGTGTGTGAATAAATACATGTACAGTATGTGTGCATATGTGGCTTACAAACAATCTATTTTTTTTGAGATGATCATAATTCTATCTTGTAACCCCACCCATAAACTGGAACAGAAATCTTTTGGCATTTGTTTTTTTAATAAATAAGATTGTTTAGTATGTTATTTTAATAAAGCTTACTGTATCATATTTGATACACAAACTTTTAAGGCCTTTAAATTATAAGCATAATCAACTTTACTAAAAAAAACTGCTGTATACAATCTATAACATGTCTTCTTTTTGCAAGTAAAAAGGCTATTTTAGTATAATTCTAAAAAATGTCCCCCTTCATGTCATCTTTTTGTTGTGAAATCTTTACAGATTTTTATATATTAAAAATAAACTTTTGAAAGCTTTTATAGTGGTGGTTGATTAAGATTTCACTTTTTAAACTTTAGTTAGTGTGTAATGTTGCTGTTAGAGCATAAACAACGTGTGCAAAGTTACGACGCTCAAAGTTCAATGCAAAGGGAGATATTTTCTTTTAAAGAAATCGCTGTTTGAGGACTACAAAAAAAGGCTGGTAAGGACTACAGCGAGCTTCTTCCCGGGTTTGTGACATCTCTAACCTCTGTGTTTACATAAACCCTGCCCCCGGGAACATGCAACTACCTGTAATGATAAGGGGCGTGACATTTCCTAGGGAATTAGCGAATCACAACACACTGGGCCAGCTAACCAATCTGAGCCCGACTGCATATTTCTGAGGGAGGGGCTTCATAGAACTAGGAACTCAACAGACCGTTTTGATGAGAACGGAAACAGCGGTGTAGAATAAACGTAAATTATGTGAAAATAATGTGCATTTAAAAAAAAAAAGCATGAACACATGTTACACTGTACCCCATAAACACAATCAAGCCTTCGAAAAAAGCTGATCAACCACCCCTTTAAGTAACTTTTATTGGTGCATCTCTCAATCATCACTGTATTGAATTGCATTATATGTCTGGTCCCCCACAATAAAAAGTGCAGAGCTTTGAATAAAAAAAGCATTTAAATGTCATCTTAGCAAGATATATTATTGGGAACAACTGATATTTAAAATAATTGTATGTACTGTAAGTAGTCTGCTATACGGTTATAAACACCTCATTGTGAAAATAATGTGCATTTAAAAAAAAAAGCATGAACACATGTTACACTGTACCCCATAAACACAATCAAGCCTTCGAAAAAAGCTGATCAACCACCCCTTTAAGTAACTTTTATTGGTGCATCTCTCAATCATCACTGTATTGAATTGCATTATATGTCTGGTCCCCCACAATAAAAAGTGCAGAGCTTTGAATAAAAAAAGCATTTAAATGTCATCTTAGCAAGATATATTATTGGGAACAACTGATATTTAAAATAATTGTATGTACTGTAAGTAGTCTGCTATACGGTTATAAACACCTCATTGATTCACATTAAAAGCAGTCAGTTCCCTTTCGATACTTCACTCGTACTGCGTAACCGCCTTCACTGGACGCAGCCCCGCTCTCCCGTTTCTCCTCTCTCAGCGAGCCTTGGTGAGAGAAACAGTGGAGTCAGGGAGCTAAGCAACCGGGTCTGAGCGATCGCATGCCGGCACTGTACCCGCGTGCTCGCTCTCCCCGTTGCACTCGGATTCGCCGCAGAAGGGCAGTGAGCTACGAGCTTACTCAGACAGATTGTTCACTCGAGCATGAGTCTCGCTCTTCTCCACTCGCGGACCGCCTTCACGAAAAGCAACCCAGCTCTCCCGTTTCTCCTCTCAGCGAGCCTCGGAGATGGAAACAGCGGAGTCAGGGAATAAGCAATTGGTCTGACTGATCTCATGCTGGCACTGTGCCTGCGTGCTCTCTCTCGGTTGCACTCGGATCCGCCGCAGAAGGGCAGTGAGCTATGCGCTTACTGAGACAGAATGCTCACTCGAGCATGAGTCTCGCTTTTCTCTACTCGCGGACCGCCTTTCACTGAACAGCCCCGCTCTCACGTTTCTCCTCTCTCAGCAAGCCTCGGAGAGAGAACAGACGAAGCCTGGGAACTAAGCAACCGGGTCTGAGCGATCTCACGCTGACACAGAGCCTGCGGACTCACTCTCCCTGCTGCGCTTCGATCCGTGTCTCACACAAAAGGATTAGTGCCCCTCTTTACATCGAGCGGCTTTATCCTACAAAGTAGATCGGAGCAGATGCTGCCGCTGACAGCTTCAAATTTGTGTGTGTCACTAGGGCTGCGCTCACAGACGGGCCGCTTTTACCACAAAAGCAGTCTGCCCCCGTTCGTTCGCGGAAGGCGGCCCCGCCTCCCCGTGCTCATGTTTCTCTCCTCCCAGCTACCTCGGAGGAAGCAACGACGAGCTCGCGGGTTGAACGATCAGACTTGAGCAATCCTCTACACACATCATGCGTGCTTAATCTGCCGGTATGTGTTACACATGAGGATCGGTGCACTTCATTATACGAGCAGCTTAATCCTTCCAGGCGGATCAAAGCGAAACGCGGACAGCTTCGCATTTGTGTGTGCGTCGCTAAGCCCCGCCTCCCCCGCCAACCTCAGTGCAGAGCAAGGACGCTCACGTCCTACGCTCAGAGGTGGTGAATTTGCTGGCAAAAGAAGCCGTGGAAAGGGTTCCTCCAGCCCAGAGCGAGTCAGGTTTTTACAGCCGTTACTTCCTCATCCCCAAAAGAGATGGTGGCCTCCGATCCATTCGCTATCTCAGGCACCTGAGTCGCGCCCTCATGAAGAGGACGTTCAGGATGATTACACTGAAACAGATCCTCGCGCAACTTCGCTCGGGAGACTGGTTCTTTTCTCTGGACCTGAAGGATGCATACTTTCACATCCAGATAGCCCCTCGTCACAGGCCATTCTTGAGATTCGCCTTCGAGTGAATCGCGCCCTCATGAAGAGGTTGTTCAGGATGATTACACTGAAACAGATCCTCGCGCAAATTCGCTCGGGAGACTGGTTCTTTTCTCTGGACCTGAAGGATGCATACTCGCATCCAGATAGCCCCTCGTCACAGGCCATTCTTGAGATTCGCCTTCGAGGGAGTGGCTTATCAATATACGGTCCTTCCCTTCGGGCTGTCCCTGGCCCCCCCGTACTTTACGAAGTGCATGGATGTGGCTCTCTCACCTCTAAGACAGATGGGAATCCGTATTATCAATTACCTCGATGACTGGCTCGTTCTGGCCCAGTCGGAGGCAGAGTTAATATCTCACAGAACCCTCCTCCTCAGCCACCTGGAGTGCCTGGGACTCAGGGTCAATCTTGCCAAGAGCTCATTGCTTCCCAGCCAGCGAATCTCGTTCCTGGGAACAATTTTCGACTCAGCCCAAATGAAAGCTGTAGTCACGCCGGAAGGAGCTTTGACCATACGGAGGCTGGCAACCGCCTTCAAGATCGGTACCGCTCGCCCTCTCAAAGTGTTTCAAAGGATGCTGGGCCTCATGGCAGCAGCATCTCCAGTGCTACAGTTGGGTCTGCTGCGTATGCGCCCCCTTCAGCGCTGGTTGGCCTTCGGCCACTGGTTGAAGGCGGAAAAAGGCTTCCACATCAATTGCCTGGAAATGCTAGCAGTATGTCGAGCCTGTCAGTTCATCCTGCCAGTCATGAAAGGGCACCATGTGCTAATCCGATCGGACAACATGTTGGTTGTGTCCTACATAAATCGCCACACTGCCAAATTTATTTCTCAAAGACTAGGGCCCAACCTCCTTCTCTATGCTTTCCCCCAATCGCTCTGATCCCACAGGTAATCAGGCGAGTAAGGGAACAAGAACACAGGGTTCTCCTGGTAGCCCCCATTTGAATGAACCAGCTGTGGCTATCAGAGCTGACTCAGCTACTGATAGTGGCCCCTTGGCCTGTTCCACTGAGACGGGATCTCCTCTCTCAAGCGAATGGGACATTATGGCATCCTCGGCCCGACCTATGGGCCCTGCACCTCTGGCCGCTCTACGGGAGCCTTCGTGCCTCCCAGAGCGAGTCTTAAACACAATTTTGGAGGCTAGAGCTCGTCATTACGCTTTCCGCGCTTCCTCCAACTGAAGAGGACAGAGAGCTATCTCTGCTCTGCCCCGTCAGAGCGTTGAGAATCTATATTGAGCGTTCCGCTCCCTATAGGCGATCGGAACAACTCTTTGTCAGCTTCGGTAACCGCACCAAAGGGCTTCCGGTTACGAAGCAAAGACTCTCTAGATGGATAGTAGACGCCATCTCGCTAGCGTACTCTTCCTTGGGCCTCCAATGACCCATTGGAGTACAGGCCCACTCGACTAGAGGCATCGCCTCGTCGTGGGCATGGTCCAGTGGTGTGTCCATTGCGGATATTTGTGAGGCGGCCGGCTGGGCCTCGCCATCCACATTTGCGAGGTTTTATAAGTCCCAGCCTTACAGGCCAGTGTCCTTTCCATTTGAAATAGGCACGCGCTGCGTAAACGGATATGGCAGAGAGCCCTTGGCCATACCACGCCCAAGTTCTCTGGCATTGTTCACCTGTTAGCTCTCGACCCCTGGGTGTCGAAGTTACGGGGATACTCTGGAACGATTAACCAGGCTGGGTGTGACCTAGAAAGCTCAGCCCGTCTTGGGTTATTGTTGACTTCTTTATAAGCATTGGTTGCTTATGGAAGTTATACCGGAAGTTATATGTAAGTCGTTCCACTACATTAGCACGGCGTGATTGGACTTAAGGTATAACTTCCATAAGCAACCAATGCTTATAGAGATAAGCATTGGTTGCTTATGGAAGTTATACCTTAAGTCGTTCCACTACATTAGCACGGCGTGATTGGACTGTTCCCATATGCATCTTAAGCAAGACGCAGTACGAGTGAAGTATCGAAAGGGAACGTACTCGGTTACTAACGTAACCTCGGGAGTACGATTTTTATCTTTTTGGACAAAAAAACATCAGCAACTGCATCAAAATTGCATATTTTTAGTCAGTTTGGGCCTCTGAATAAAGCTGACGTATTTTTTTCCTCCTCGAGTATGAGCTTTCCATTGTCCTATATCATATTAGTTTAAGAGTTTACTATATTATACTATATAGTTTACTAGAGCCATAAAAGTCTGATGCATCAAATATGATACTCAAAAAAAAACCACATATGCAAACTTTTTTTAATGGGGTCATATGATGTGATTTCATGTTTTACTTTGTCTTTGGAGTGTTAAAAGCTGTTTGTGCATACAGAAGATCCGTAAAGTCGCAAAGATTAAAGTCTCAAACCCAAAGAGATATTCTTTATAAAAGTGAACACTCATCCACGCCTTCCTAAAACGCCTCGTTCAAACACGCCCCCACATATCTACGTCACTGTGTGGGAAGATTTGCATTACCCCGCCCAGGGGCGTAGATTACGCGGGGGACGCGGGGGACGTGTCCCCCCCACTTTTAATATCACGTAAATTCGTCCCCCGCACTTTTTCGGGCAAGTGTGTTCGCATAGAGGTTTTCAAGAGCCGGTGTGAATAAATATAGATTTAAATTCAAAGAGACAGGATAGTCTGTGCATGATCTGATGTTTTATTCGGACCCAGAATAAGGCGAGATGAACATCGCGGAGGGCAAAACACTCCATGCAGTGTATGTTTCATTCATACTCAAAGCC